TTCAAGTAAATAATCAGCAGAATAATCAACCATGAAAATAACTGCTAATCGCAGCCCTAGTGCCCACAGTGCATGTTCCTTTAGTACATTTAATCAGGCCCAATACCAAATCCATTGCAAATGTAGTGACCTACTGAGCTTGAAGTTTCAGGTGGGCTTTACATGAACTTGCTTTGAGTTGAAGCTCACAAACATTTCCTGTGAATAAACGAGTTCCCAGGTTCTTGCCTGAATGGGGGAAATGCAGAGGGCCCATACTTTTCAGTGCATATCTGTGCCAAATGGTATGGAACTAATCTCCACTGAGCTATTTCTCATTAGAGATGGGCCTCTGGGAGGTGCATCGGTGTGTGTGGACTGTGGACAGGGACAGCGAAGGAACTGTCTGTTCCTGCAGATGGGCTTCATTTAGTGTTGGGCAGGAATAACTTTCTGACAGTTTTATTGGGGTCCAAACTACAGGGCTAAGTAGACGAGCGCGAGGCTTTTTTGCAAATGGCTGTAGAGCTGCGTGCGGAAGAATTTTTTCTGTCTCGCTAATGCTGATCGACACATACGACATGCCGCTGGGATTTATTCAAGCCCAGTGCTGATGCATCACTGCCGTAACGCTGCGCTGTGATCTGGGCAGAACCGTCGCCGGGTGTTCAGCAGTATTGGGTGTAATTCATCTGTTGACTGATTAACGTTCAGCGTCCATGTGGAAGTGCAGTTAAGACTAAGAGCGCAGTGATTCAGGAGGACCACAAATCAAGCGTGCTTTGTATGGTAAAGGTGTGATGAGTAACCCAGAGTTATCTCCCGCTGTTCTTCCGCTCCGGTGATCAGAGAGTTTCTCTGTTTATAGATCGCTAATCTAAACTCTGAGTCATCTCCCTGAGATACAGGGCAATGGATATGACTTTACCTTGACCCGTAGCCAAGAGAGCAGTAGTTAAAAAGCTTGTAGTTAAAAAGCTTTGATAGTTGTTCTACATGATGTCTACTCAACCGCAGACCTAATGGCCAAATGAGTGGCATAAAGCTCAGGCTGTTATTATCTATATGGTACCATTTTGATTTTATACATTTTATGGCCATAAAACTGTGCCCCTAATGATATGGAATTAATATTAAAGGCTCCCTGTGGTGAAAATCTAGTTGTATGTTTTCACCTTGTGAACATGTCCATATGGTTTTTATTATACACTGCAAAATAAGAGGACAACTCTATGGCTGAGCATGTCAACCCTGAATAATATCTCAATAACATGGATTCAGATTTCTAGTAGTACAACTTGCCATTGTGTAGCAAGAGTAGTTTTACTGTGTTGAGTGATAGGAAAGCTGGTGTGCTCAGGCTGCAGTGGGTTGGAAGGAATGAATGGAAAGACAGACATGAAGGGATTATTTTCTCTGAAAAATTGTACCATTGATACAAAGAGGGGAGTTTTTAGAGGTTTGATCAATGGTTTAATTGTTAATAAACCCCTATTGTCAATATAGCTACAAGGTGCTTTACCACAACAGGGTTTTTCCTGGTTTTGAATGCATCTCTGTACAGCGACGATGCCCAACGATAACAAAAATCTCCATTATTTATGTGTTAATTAAATCCCTATCAACAAAACTGGCTACTAAAATTGTATCGCTGTTTTTATTCTTATCATCTTGTTTCCTTTAGTGTTTGGTTCAGAAGGAGCCAACAATTCTTCTGTGCAGGAAAAATACCTGCACAATGATGTTCATGATTAAACAGAATAAACATAATAAAAGAAACTCCGTTGAGACGGTTTGGCAACCCTGACTTGTTTAGGCTGGAGTTCCACTCCCGGAGCGTCCAAACTGAAAAGACCCAGTCACATTTCCTTCCTGTTATTTATAAAGACATAAATTGCCAGCATCACACAGCTTCCCCTCTTAATACCTCTGGAATTGTAGAGATTTATTGCTTGTGGATGTTGTTGCCACTGACTTGCCTGGGACTCTTCCGTAGAAGTCCAGCGCTGACCTACCCATCAGGCGTCAGGGCCATGTACGGCGGTGAAAACATATAAGGCTCTGCTCTGCTTTGCTCATACCAAATACCACCAAAGGCATAAATTAGAAACGAGGCATTTTTTTTAAGATAAGAAACTCCACTGGAACGGGATTTTGAGGTGTACGATTTCAGTGTACGACGTCGTCAAATCAGTGTTTTAACCACTGGCTGTCTTCATTACAACTGCATATCCAGTGTCATGTCTGTCTGGAGAAGAGTGGATTACACCAATAATATGAAGTGTGTAGAGTTACTGTAGACAACCTTTTCCTGTAATAACATGTCCTGGAACATGGCAGCAAGTTTCAAACCAGGAATGTAATTTAGACCAAAGTCTGACTTACATTTACCCCAACCGAAACAGATGTACGAACTGAGGTATATCTGTAATTTATTTAGTTTCTGTATAAACTATACCTTGTTTGCATGTTTTCTCTGTATTAGGCTTTTCCCAGAGGGGGTTAGATTATGTGATGCTGCGTGTTTGTTGTCTCGGTGGGCCTGCGTGGGAAGTTTTATGCGTGTTGTGAAAATGTTGTGTGTCACCGAAAAGCCACCCAGAGACTTCAGACGTCGACTGCTCGCTGTCTGGTCCGGTGTCTTGAAGTAGCCTTTGTGTGCCCACAGAACTGGCAGGCAACGCACACCCTGTTTCTGTCTCAGTTCATCAGCTGAAGGGATTTACTCCACAGCTGAGGAGGCCAACAACAACACTGAATAGGAGCCTCTTGCTGTGTATCCCAAGTGTATACGCTCACCAGTGTGCGTTTCTCACACAACGGATTCCGAGGCAAGTCTTGGAGGTTGTGTGCTTAAGGATACCTTCAAGGCCATATGTAGGGTGTACATCAGAAGCGAGTCCACTCCAGAGTTGGAACCCTTGATGACAGACTCGGTCCTTCTCGCTATGGAGAACACTAAATTTCTGATTTATGATAGGTCGTCTGCCATTCCTCAGAGACAGTTTTTTTTTTCCAGCTGCTTTTTGCTGAAGGGATTGTGTTGCTCTACCTTTCTCTTTAGGATACCCAAAAGGTGTTCTTTTGGATTCAAGTCAGGCGACATATTTGGCCAGGTCATGGCTTTTCACTTTTTTTTTCTTTTCTTCGGAAGCTCTTGTTTGATTTTGGCAGCGTGCTTTTGATCACTATCATGCTGAAATATTCTTCCTCTGCCGGGATTCTGCTGACTGGGAGGCATCTTGTCAGCCAGTATTTTGGTATCTCCGCAGGCATCCGTGATACCATCTATAAATTCCATCTTCCCAGCAGCGTTTGCAATCATGCGGCCTCATATAATCACACTACCACCTCTATGCGTCACCATTGGGATCATGCATTCACTGTGGTAGTCGGGGACGGGTTCACAACAAACAGGCTTCACCTCATCTGAGCCAAACGAATTCTAAAAATGTGCTCCTAATATTTATTAGGCTTCTTTGCATGTTCTTTAGCAAAGTTTCATCTGGTGCTTTTGTTCCCCTCAACAAGCAGGGGTATCTTAGACACCATCCATAGGGACTGATGATATATAGTGTCCTTCACACTGTCCGAGTTATCGCAGTGATTTCCATTGATAACTTCTGTGCCAAGTCTGAAGCACTTGCCCATCTATTTGTCAGAGCTGGATTGCCCAAGTCTGTCCATGGCACCATTTTTAGGAAGACGGCCACTGAAGTTCTGATTAGTGGTACTATGATTCGTCCTGTACCTCCTGATTTCTGCTGGAACAGTGTTTCTTCTGATTTTTAGTTGGGCTTCGATCTTGCTGTGTCCTTTTCCACCTTTTGTGAAGAATCACAAACAAATTGTTCTTTTCCATGATGCAGACATGCAAATAGACACAGCTTATAGGTGCAAAACTGAGAAAGTTCTGCTCATTTTATAACCGTATTAGTACAATTATGCTTTCAATATTGCTTTGAATCTATTTGTTTTTAAGTGTCCCATAAGGCTCATGAACTCTTCTCGTGATTTGAGCTTGAATAGTTTGACATTTACACGATATTGCACACGATACTTCTGTTGAGTCTGCTCATTTTTTTTTCTCATGGTTTCATGTTTGGGGAATCTCACTCAGTGCTGCACATGTCTTTGTGTAAGGGGTGTGTGCGAGAGCAAAGGGAAACAAGCTGCCTTTTTGTGTACATGCCAATCTTCTCGTTAGATCTTTGATGACTAAAACATACCACCATGCCTTCGAGCTAGAAAGTATCCGTCAGATATGGTAGAAAGTGTCCTTGCACATTGCACGAGGCTGAGAAAGTGAGTCCTGAGCTGCACTGCACTGCTCTGCTCTGCATTGTGCTGTCCTGTGCTGCTGTGTTGCTGTATCTGCAGCAGCACGGCCAGGTTTTGCTGAGTCAGAGAGAGTTCACACAGCAGTGATGAGTGAGCGACCAGGTCTGTGCTCAACGCTGCCACTCCCTGGCAGACTCGGCGGACTGCACACACACGGGGTGAAGGATTGTTGCAGGAAATGTACGCCTTCATCACGAGCATGTGTCATCCATCACGTCTCTCCTTTACTACTCTGCTGAGTTTCCATAACTGATTAATGCGTGCATTGTTTCTTGGCCATTGTGGTGGCATTTTGGCTTTCCACCATAACCTTGTATTATGTGAACTACAGATTAGGCTTTGTTAGCAGGAAACATCCCCTGTCCCCTAACTCTCCACAGATGTCCACAGAAGTTGCTCCGACTGTTCTTTCGCTCTCACTGTTCCTCTTGTGTCGGATAGTTTGCGTGTTTAGCCACTTGGGATAATTGCTTTCAATGATATGTGCGTTACGTAGACACGAGGAGGGGATTTTTTAGACATTTGTAGCTCATGGAAACATCATATATGATGCAAGTTGTGTGATGTTTAGCTGTTTTCAATTTTAACAGAAGTCCTCCTGGAACTTTAGCAACATCAGATACCACATTGTGTCAATGTCAGCTGATTTTTCCACTCATTCCTGTTCTTTTTTCTTACAGAAAAACTCTACAACTCAACAGGACGGGAGCTGCGGAGAGCCCTCTTTTCCCTCAAGCAGATTTTTCAGGTAATTATTTATCGATTTCTGCTCGTGCCGTCTTTTTGAGAACGTCTTTCTTGAAACTGTTTATAATCTTCTAGGCATTGTTTCAAAAATGCAGAAGTTGTAATGAAGCACCTCTTGCCTTTCCTTTTTTTTTCTGGGCTTCGACCGCCCAGGAACATGCAAAGACAAATATGTCGCACATTCATCCGTGCATAGTCACACTCGGACACGGCGGTGTTTTCCTGAGGCAGAGTTGTGCTGCTGAGAGTCTGCCTTCGTGGCAGCTGTGCAGTGTTCAGGTCTGGTCATACTTCACACACTGGGCTGGGCTAGCGGGCAGTCGGTCGCGGAGGGGGAGGGTTAACTGACAGTTAAATGGAAAAGAGAGCAGCAGACATTGATGCAGGCCCAGAACAAATTACAATACCTCACTTTTTTTTTTACACCGTGAGCGGCTCTGTAAAGTGTCAGTCGTAGAGAATATGGCTTGATATCAGTGTGTACATTTTACGACAAGTTCCAAAAACTCCTGCTCGTTCTGTTTCTTCAGTTCACTCCTGTATATTCAGACTCACTGCCAAGTGGCTGGAGTCTCCATCACAGATCTATGGTAAAGATGTTCTGGAAGCACTTAGACTTCCTCCTGGGAGAGAAAGAAGCCCTGACCACCCCACAGTGTTTATTGCTGCCTTCCTCTCCTTCCCATCTGAACAGTAGAGTGTATCAGAAAATGGTAAATCCTGCAAGAAAGCCTAATGCTTGGCCTTAAATTACAGAGTCAGCGACAGGTGTGAGGGATGCAGGTGGTTTTGTCATCAAGGGCAAAATGTAGGGTGAAGTTGAAGCAACAGCACTCCAGCTGAACAAGCTGCAGGCGGATTACATTGTTCGCTGCGTCAGCTGTGACTGAATATGAAAAATGGAAAATAAGTTTTATTCAGCTGATGATTTTGTTTGGAGGGGTTGTGAAGAAGTTGGAGGACATGTTCCCTTTGCAACTAATTGTTTTTGATTCCTTGTAATACAGTAAACATGGTGTTGCCTTGCAGTAAGAAGCCAAATACATACAGTTAGGCCTAAAAGTATTCATGCCCATGCAGAATTTTGATTTAAAGTGAATTTTTATTTGACCATTAAGTGTTTTTTTGGCTGAAAATCTAACAAACGAGTGAAAAAGAAAGTAAGACACTGTGTTAGAGATCTTCACTTTGAATTGTACTTGCATTTTTTGTACCATTTTAACTGCTAAAAATGCAACGTCCAATTTGAAATTATCCCCATTGCATTTTCTAAAAGGTCCTGGCCATTTCTGCCGTGTTCAAGAGCGTTCTAATACACGCAGGTGATGCGGTACTTCTCTAACTGGTCAAGTGGGAATCATTGCTAAAGCCAAAGAGCTTCGTGAGTGTGCTGTTAGAGTCCATTAGTGAGAAAGTCTTGCACATTGCGGCTTCTTCACAAGATGGGAAAAGGCTACGAAGCCACATCCAAGTGTTTTTTTTTTTTAAGTGCCAGTGGCCACAGTGCTAAGCATCATCAAGAAGTACAAGGAGTTCCACACTGGGAAAAAATCTCAAAGGGCCGCCGAGGAAGCCAAAAGTTAACCTCTGCAATGGCAAGAATGGTAGCATGAGACGCCAAGAAGAATCTAAGGATCGGCACCAAGGCCATCCTAATGAACTGGAGTAATTATGGTACCGACATCTCAATTTGACCCTCCAGCAGCCACCGAACACGGCTGGTCTCCACCAGCGAGGACTCCACTTTTTCAAGACAGACACAGAAGAGCTCACCTGGACAAACAAGAAAGTTTTGGTCATCAGTTTTGTGGTCAAATGAGGATGAAAATGGGGTCATTTGGACACAGGGAAGTGGTTTCCGTTTGGCAAAAGAAAAGAGACGCATTCAACCCCCAAGAACAGCATCCCCACGGTCAAACACAGGGGTGGGAATGTAAAGCTTTGAGAGTGCCAGTGAGTCAAGTGGTCAAACTAAAAGGCATCATGAGAAAGTTACAAGTTAAGATTCTACAGCCTGCAGAAGACATTTGCTTCATGGAAAATGGTTAACGGAAAACAATATCTACCTTTTTTTGGGGGGGCGGCCCTGCCAAAGTCAGTCCCATCCAGAATCTGTGGAGGAAGACCAGAGTGATGGAGTGGAAGCCTTCAACCTCAAAGAGCTGGAAAGCTATTGTTCTAAAAAGATTCACTTTAAATCAAAATTTGACACGGGTATGAATAATTTAACTACATATAATTCACTCGCACTGAGTCTTTGGAGGTTTCTGCAACTGATTTGATTATTTATCACATAAAGCTTTATTAAGTAGTGGAAAAACTTGTGTGCGCTGTTCCACAGCTGGTTCCAGATTATTATTTCCCTGCATGATATGTAGCAAACATTCGTGCGCTCAAAGGTTTCAGTGGAAGGCCAAACAAAATCCCTAATTTCAATAACAAAAAATAAATACAGTCTTTGGCTCTATATGCTGGATATTTATGACCCATAATGGATTTTCTTCCTCTTTCCAGGATGACAAGGACCTGGTGCACGAGTTCGTGGTGGCCGAAGGGCTGACGTGTTTGATAAAAGTGGGAGCTGAGGCCGACCAGAACTACCAGAACTACATCCTCAGGGGTACGTGCACGGCAAGAACAGCACCGCTTTGCGCCAATAAGTCGACAGCATTCTTTCCTCATTCCGCAATTTTACAACACGAGGATGTTATTAATCAATCGCGTAACACTTTTCTTTCCATAAACCTATCTGCAGCCACATGTGTTTATATAAACTATGTAAATTAATGATTCTGCTTGATGACCTTCTCACACTCACACACTTAAAGCTTATAAACAAGCTCAAATGTGTGCCACAGTCGGGCCAAGTTTAGCAGCTGCTTAATTTATCTGTCCCATGTCGGAGAGGTGAAGGATCATATGTGTTCAGGTTGAAGCGGGCCGAGGACGGCGTGTTTCGGGGATACCAGAGGTCCGTAGCTCTCGCTCTAAGGTCACCACCATTTAACAGCCTGCTGTGAGGGGTCGGGTCACGCATGCTTAAGCATCAAATAAAAGCTCCGGCAGGATGTTACAAATCATAAAACTAATTTCCTCCTCTCCCTGTTTTTTTTTTCCTCACCGTTTCATCCAGATTTGCTGCACATCTGTTAATTAAACTCAACCACAACATCAATGCTTTATTAGTTTACTACGTATTATACCCTCCATAAACTCAGAAGCTTTTTTATTATTATTAAAAAGTGCAACTGCATAGTTCAGACTCCTCTATTGGTTTCTTAATTAACCCTCTCAACCCCAACTGTTTTTTGTTTTTTTTTCCACTCCTGTCACTGTGGGCTCATTTTTCACTGCAATATGAAG